ACTTTGAACTTAAGTTCAAAGTTAGGCAAACTTTACGCAAATTTTGGACTTACGAAAAGAGTTGTGAATCCGCACCCTGGATCCAAGTATATGCAATGATTTTCCTAAGTGAATTAACTTTGTAACTATTATTGCATTTGCCGTGCTTGAATTAATTAATTGAAAAATGAATTAAACATTCACCTCAAAATAAAAAAACACTTATAAATAAAAAATTCAGCAACAAAAAAATTCAACTCGATCAACCTGAAGTGATGATAGTCTTTTTTTTGAGGTTGGTATTTTAATTTGTATAAAATTTATTATCTTTGATTAATTTAAAACTTCCACGCTCATTATATAATTATTTAAAGGTTACCGATCATACTAATTGGCTAAAATAATAAGATTTGAAAGGTAGAGGATAAAATAATTTTCCGAATGATCAAGTTTTCTGTAAACTTTTACAGGCATAACTGTTTATGTAACACATAAATAACACTTTTTGTGTTAGTCACCTTAAAGCACATCAGCGTAGTTTAACTACGCTGATTTCCGATTTAAGTTTTATTAACTTGCCCTAACAGAGCAATTTAGTAAAACTTAAAAGCTAAAGTTTTTTTGCAGTATAGCAATAGAGAAACATAATGATGAAGTACTGATGCAGAAACAAATACTTTCTCGAGTTATTGATATCATTAAACATTTATGTAAGCAAACATTGCCATTTCGAGGTCGTAGGAATGAAGGTGCTTATTCATTGGACAATGATAAAGAAACTCATGGAATTATTTTGACTTTGGTACAGCTCTTTGCCAAATATGACCCACTTTTGGCTTTTCATCTCTCCATCTGTCAAAAGAAATCAACCAAAAGAATAGAAAAACTGAGGCGTCAAGGTAAAACCAGCAGTAAGTTTGCGTGCTATATAGCTCGAACTGCTCGTAGGTTAGTATTAAAAAAAACAATTTTATCCAGGCCTAATCTTAAGTTAGGAAATGTTACATACTCATGATGTAACAGTTTATCTAGTCTTTTTATGAAGATGATGAATATAGTCTGGTAAAAAGGACTATGTAACCAGAAAGAAAAAGTTCACATGAAAAAACGTTTGCTTTTATGTAATTTAAATTGTTTGTTGCTTTCAAAACAATGAACTCAGAAATAAAAATAAAATTTTTTAAAGGTTTTACACATTGCAACCAAAACGGTGCTTTAGGAAACACATTCAGTATGCGTTTGTGCTACTCATGAGAATTTAAAACTGCTTTTACATCCTCTTGATGTGACATACAAAGACCTGTTACCTTATATTGTATGTGACATGACTAATAAAGACTGTACGATGCTAAAATGTGAAAGATGCCCAATTACTATAAATGCATTGGTTAAAAAACTTTAAAATTTAGTTGGAGAGCTAGAAAATGACGATGAAGTAGAATTTGATCAGTGGACAACAAAAGAGAGTTCAAATAATAAAGAGCCAAAGCAAAAGTACAAAGCTTTCATAGGACAAATTTACTAAGTACACTTTATTATTTGAACAGAGAGTTCAAACAATAAAAAACCAAAGCAAAAGTACAAAGCTTTCATAGGACAAATTTACTAAGTACGCTTTATTATTTGAACAGAGAGTTCAAACAATAAAGAGCCAAAGCAAAAGTACAAAGCTTTCATAGGACAAATTTACTAAGTACGCTTTATTATTTGAACAGAGAGTTCAAACAATAAAGAGCCAAAGCAAAAGTACAAAGCTTTCATAGGACAAATTTACTAAGTACACTTTATTATTTGAACAGAGAGTTCAAACAATAAATAACCAAAGCAAAAGTACAAAGCTTTCATAGGACAAATTTACTAAGTACACTTTATTATTTGAACAGAGAGTTCAAATAATAAAGAGCCAAAGCAAAAGTACAAAGTTTTCATAGGACAAATTTACTAAGTACACTTTATTATTTGAACAGAGAGTTCAAATAATAAAGAGCCAAAACAAAGTACAAAGCTTTCATAGGACAAATTTACAACGTACACTTCATCCTGTGATTTTTGATTTTAAAAAAGAATTGATGTTGTCAACAATGATATTAAAACAATCTACCTCAAATAAAAATATTTTATACTTTTCAGATGGGTGTGCAGGCCATTATAAAAATTGCAAAAATGTTTTGAATCTTTTGCAAATACCACACCTTGAACGCATAGTTACCATCAGTTTTTACCACTTGGCCATCAAAAAATAAAAAAATATATGTTTAATATAACTTTTATTATTTTTAAAATACATCCATAATTTTTATTGATAAACTCCAATAAATTTTTTATTTGTGTGAAATCATCTTTTGAAGATGATTCCACACAATCTTTGTTTTTGGGTTAATAATTTTTTTTTTAATGCCTAAAACATGTTTAACAAAACAAGTAAAACGGAATAAATCCATATGTTGCTATTTTGTCTAGATAGGCGCATAGCTATGCAGTGTTGGTGAAGACTTTGAATTAATTCATGACTTTGGAAACATCCATGTAACAACTACAAACTTAATACCGGGTGATTATGCCTGTGTTTCCTATGAGCGAAAGTGGTGGATAATCATTGAAGAAATTAATCCGGAACAAAAATATGTGCTTGTCAAATTTATGTGTTCAAATGGTCCTGCATGGTCGTTTAAATGGCCACAAGGGGATAGACAATGCTGGACTCCAGATGTCCAAATCATTTGCAAAGTTGAAGTACCGACCACAAAAACAGAACTTTGCTACTATTTAGCCAAAGACGACTTGAAAAAAATTGTTTTCTTTAGGGAAATAGAAACATTTATATTTAAACTATTTTCAAGTTTACTGAGTGTGATATCCATACTTTTTTTTATTTTTTTATTTTTTGTAAAATTTATAAATAATGTGAATGAAAAGCGTATATAAAATAAGTTAAGCTGAGTATTTATTTTTCAAAATATTTTATTATATATTATGACTTTGTTGTAAAAAATTAATAAAAATAATAAATTTATTAAACTGTTATTTTCTAATGTGATTAACTTAAAAAAAGTTATGATCAACTGCCTGATTTTTAAAATATTACAAAATTTTGTGTTCATATCAAAACTCAATAACTCTTCAAGTAAATATAAGACAAAGGTAAATATAAGGCATAGGTTCGTAAAGTTGATTAACATCTTATCTTTAAGAAAATAAAAATAAATTTTTTTCTATTGGTCAGATTTTTTTTATAGCTATAAGTATCAATTCCTTTTTTCAATGTCATTATTTGGTACATTTTATGAATCCCAAAGTAACCTAAATTGCTATACTTCGAGAGATACACAACTAAAGTTTCAGATTTAGCAGATTTTTAACTTTTAACAATTTTAGCAGGTTTAAAACTCTTTTGGTACCAAGTTTTAGCATCGCAACATTGCTAAAAGCACCATATTAGGGTAATCATAAATGGAAATATTTTTGGTACTTTACCCCACTCATTTTTCATTCAAAATAAAACAAACTTTAAGTTGCTGTAAATCCTAACCGGATAAGAATTTTTTTTTTTTTAATTTACAGTCTTTCCTAAGTTATGTCTCTAAACATTTGTGCCAAATTTAGAAAAATTGATGATTTAGGGTGCAGATTTGTGCGTTTTTGTATATTTTGAAAAATCATAACCCTTAAGTCAATATTATTACACAAAACTAGTTGTAGTCCATTAGGTAATTTTAGATACTTTACCCTCTAAGGGATATTTTAGATTCTTTACCCCTTCCCTAGTAACTTATTTATTTGAAAGCATTTTTTTTTTCTATCATAAACTAATCGAAATTTGCAAACAGAGTTGAAGTTTCATCAAACAAGAACTAAAAATATTTTACTGCTTTTATATTATAAAAAAGGAGGCTATTTTAATTTATAATTTATAATTTATACATTTAGTAAGCAAAAAACAAAAAATTAAAATTTGCCTTTGTCATGAAAACGATAAAATAAAAAAAGTCAAATCAAGTTTTTTCCAAAAATCTACTATAAAAAATATTTATTTTAACACGTTTTTGACATAATTTTAAGTTATATTTTCACATGATTTCAACAAGTTTCATTTTATCATGGATTTGAAATTTTCATTGAAAAAATAATATGACATCATTTAGCATGCGCGGGGTTATAATGTATTTTTTTTAAAAATTCATAAATTTTAAGGTATCTTATTCAATGTGCTTATCGGTAAGTAACATTATTTTGTAAACTACAACTCATGGGCTTTTTACTTCATTAAAGAATTAAAAAAGCAAGTTGATACTAAAAATAAAGGAATTGTTTTCTATTAACAAGTACGTGCTAACTTGATACAGCATTTGTGAGAAGGCCCTAAAACTGAAGAATAGTTCTTCATTGTATCATAAACAATAAAAATTATTTATTTTAATATTTACAGAAAATTTTAAAGAGATTTATGTAAATATAATACTAGAAGATCTAATTTTGATACAAACCTTTACTTTATTATAAAACTTATCTGGTCTTCTGATTTATGATTTAGACTTTAGATGCATTATTTAGGTTACAATTATTATATTGTTTGTCTTTCAGTGAAAGTCTTTTACTTGAAAGACAAAAAAATTTAAAAGTCTTTTTTCTGTGTTTTATATTTTTTATTTACTTTTTTAATGATGCTCATAGTGTGTACCAAGGTAGCCTACTGGTGGGTGCCTTAAAACAATTTTCTGATTTTAAATTATATAGTCTAAAAAATTTAACCTGTTATATATTGGCAATTTATAAATTTAATTTTGTAGGCACAAATTTTTTCTACAAATTAAACCAATCGGCTAAAAAAAGACGTATTAGTTAAAAAAGTTGTTACAAAGCAAAAATCAAAAGGGTGTCATGGTATCCCACTCTCCCGTTTGCTTTACAAAAAATCATCAATAATCCAAAACGTTAAATGTTGAATTTCAGTCAAAGGTTTTTTTAAATAACGTGTGGACCTTAAAAAAAATTATACACAATTTTTAGTAAAACGTGCGTAC